TGAATCTAATAGCATTGTTTGGGGGTACAAATGAGACAGCATCTCAAATATCATTTAAGGAGAATACTTATGAAGTCTTAAAAAGCAACAAAGGCAACACAGAAACACAGATACAGCATCTGGAGGAGGGAGGCCACTTAGCACAAGGTCAAAATGGTGTTGAGGGTTTGTTGAGAAACAATGCTTAAAAATGGGCATGAGAAGCAAAAGAAACTTTCAGAAAAGAATGATTGTGGCAAATCAGTCCTTCACAGTTACAGCGGGACTGCAGAAGCAGGAACAGGACTGTGAGTGGGACCGGTACATCGTGTTAGATAGAAAAGCTTTATGGCCCATGACTATGCGACCCCCTGTACTGTCCCCAGTATGGTGACCTCCATCAAGAGCACACACAGGCAAGCCCCTAAGACAGATTGCCCCTCCCTGGGCTAGCTGGGAAAGGGGCTGAGGTCATCTATTCTCTAATACACTCTCAGATAGATCTTGGCTGAAAGCAGAGAATACCAGAAAGATGTTAACTTGTATTTTATTGACTATACCAAGGTATTTGGTTCTGTGAATCATAACAAATTATGGATGACCTTGAGGAGATCGGATGTTCCAGCACATTTCATGGTGCTCCTTCGGAACTTGCATGTGGCTCACGAGGCAGTTGTAAGAACGGAACAAAGGAATACTTCATGGTTTATGATCAGGAAAGGTATGATTCAGGGTTGTAGCTTCTCACCATACTTATTCAATCTGATCATCTTATTCATCGGAGAAGCTGGATTATACGAAGAAGAATGTGGCATCAGGATGGAAAGAAGCTTATTAACAGCCTGCGCTATGCAGATGACATGATCTTGCTTGCAGAAAATGAAGAGGACTTGAAGCACTTACTGATGAAGGTCGAGGATTGTAGCCTTCAGTATGGACTGTGACTCAAAGGAAAGAACAAATCCTCAAAACTGGACCAATAGATGACATCATGACAAATGGAGCAGAGGCTGCACTTGTCAAGAACGTTGTCTTGCTGGGATCTACAATCAATGCTCACGGGAACAGCAGTCAAGAGAGCAAAAGATGTGTTGCATTAGGTAAATCTGCTGCACAAGACTTCTTCGGCATATTGCAAAGCACAGATGTTGCTTGAAGGACCAAAGTGTGCCTGATTCGAGTCATTTTCCACTGTCTTATTTGCATGTGAACATTGGACGTTGACTAAGGAGGACTGGAGAAGAAGCTGCATTCGAACTGAGGTGCTGGCAACAGAGGTCAACAGCACCAAGGACTGCTCAAGGGTCAAACAAATCTGTCTTGGAAGAGGTACCGCCAGTGTGCTCCTTAGAGGCCAGGCTGGCAAGACTTTGTCTCACACACTGTCCCTGGAGCAGGGGGCCGTGCTTGGTAAAGTGGAGGGGCAGCAGAAAAGAGGCAGGCCCTCACTAACACGGGATGGCACAGTGGCTGCAACATTGGCTCAGGCAGAGGGACAGTGGCGAGGAGGGCGCAGGACAGGGCAGTGTTTTGTCCTGTTGTGCATAGAGCGGCAGGTATCAGAACGGACTCAATGATACCCAACAACAGCAACAGCATAAAGAATATAAAAACAGCTTATGTTTATAACGATAAGAGATAAAATTCTTACTCTCATTTAAATTCTTCTTAAGTGCCATTTCAGAACACATAAAATTCACAGTTAAAGTGACACAGTCTGTTTTATGTCTTAAGGACCAATCTGTGCTAACATATGTGCTTGTTAATATTCTAGAGTGTGGCTTTATCAGCTTTGGGAACTATTCTTGGAGTTGTTTTTTCTGTGTTTCTATTTGCCCTCCCCCATTATTACATACAATGCCACAATATCTACATTTGAAACTGCTGCTGTAGCAGAGGTGAGACCCCAGTGAAGGGGTAAGCCGTGTGGCTCCTGCAACACCAAGGGATAAGCAAGGTCAAAGACCCCAAATCAGAACAGCATGATTGGCATGTTCCAGCAATAGCAGCCGGTGCAGTGAGGCTGGAACAGAATGGACAAGACAGAGAAGGGTAGCTAATGGCACAGAATTGGCAGGGATCCAGATACGGTCGAGCTGTAAAGGATACAGAGCTTGGTTATCATCTATGTGAAATGAGAAAGCATTGGGGGTCGTGAGCAGAGGAGCAACGTGATCTGATTTACGTTTTTGGAGATGACTCTTCCTTGTGCTGTGTGGAGAAGAGACTGAAGAGGGTAAAGATGAAAGAAGGAACGCTAGTTGAGGTTATTTCCATAAACTTCACAAGAGATTAAAGCCATTGGATTAGTGGGGGAAGGGGGGTAGCAGTGGAGGTCGTGTAAAGTGGTTGATTCTGGATATATTTTGAAAGACTAGCTGATAGTATTTCCTAACGTATCAAATGGGAGAATAAGAAAATAGAGAAGACAAAAAGGAGTTACGGCTACTATTGGTGAGGGAAACTAGCAGAAACAGCCACTGGAGTTGCCACAAGAAGAAGGGGTGGCGCATGGAGACCCACGCTTGGATTGAGTATTCTCAGAAAGGAGAGGAGAGCTATGCCTCTCCTCCATGCACATTGCGCCTGATCTGGTTTCATTGTTTTCTGAGGGTATTTTAATTTCATATTTGATTTCATCCATAGCTCTGATATATTTTGTCATTGGGGGTAACCCTCCTAAATTTTTGTTATATGTTTTTCTGGTTTTTGGTATATGAAACCCAGGATTGATAAACCTGTAGTGATGGCAAGGAAAAGAAGGGTTCCGGGGGTAGGGGGAGGTGGTGGGGGAGGGGGATAGAGGAGAGCTGATGTCAAGGTGTTCAAGAAAAAGAGAATGTTTTGAAACTGATTGTGGTAGCAATTGTACAATACTGCTTGAGGTGATTAAACTATGGAATGATCTGTATTAGCTCCCAAGAAAAGGGCTTTTTGAGTAAAGAAGGTTAGAGATGCCCAAATAAAGGTACCATAAGGGTAATTTGATATAAAAATCAGAATGAACCACCTATGCTTCGGATATACATGGATCTTGACTAAAAGCAGAGAATACCTTTTGTTGTGTAACCATCCTCAGTGTACATGACTGATATAGTTTAAGTTTATTGTGCCAAGCTGGCCGATAAACACATGTGGGGTTAAAATGGCTCTGTGAGCCTTGCCTTTCTAGTTCTCGTGTCTCTTGCTTTGTGATGGTCGGACCAGGGTGCAGCTGCCTTAGCCAGTTCCCTGCTTCAGCTGGCAAAGCACATTTCCTGCAAGACATCCCCAAGGAGAAGCCGCATGGACTTACACCAATGCAGCCCTGGGTGCTGCAGTAGCTGTGTGGAGACCCCTGCCAGCCCTGAGATGCTTATACATTCACTGATTCTGCTTTCCTCCTACAGTTGGCATGGCTGCATGTGTTTTGTGAGAAGACTTTGTGGATTGCTGTCGGACATATGGGTCAATGACCCATGCACAACAGAATGAAACACTGCCTGGGCCTGGGCCGTCCTCACACTTGGTCCCACGCTTGAGCCCATTGTTGCAGGCCTGGTGTCAGTCCAGCTCACGGTGTCAGTCATCTCAAAAGGGGCTTCCTCCTCTTTGCTGCCCCGCTAGCAAGCATGATGTCTTTCGTAGGGACAGGTCTCCCCTGGCAACGTGTCCAAAGTATGTGAGGCGAAGTGCTGTCATGCTTCCCTCTAAGGCAGTGAGTGGTTCTCTACCTTCCTAATGCTGCAACCTTTTAATACAGTTCCTCATGTGGTGGTGACCCCCCAACCATAAAATTATTTTTGTTGCTATTTCATAACTGTAATTTTGCTACTGTTATGAATTGGATGACCCCTGTGAAAGGGTCGTTTGATTTGACCCCCTGAAGGGGGTCATGACCCACAAGTTGAGAACCGCTGCTCTAAGCAGGACCCTGGCCATACGTCTTCCAAGGTAGATTGGTTTGTCCTTTTAGCAGTCCGTGGTCCTTTCGAGATTCTTCTCCAACAGCCACCATTCAAATGCACACATTCTCCTTCAGTCTTCCATCTTCAATGTCCATCTCTCACACGCATATGAGGTGATTGAAAATACCGTGGCTTAGGTCTGGCACACCTCAGTCTTCAAAGCAATATCTTTCCCTTTCAACCCTTTTAAGAGGTTTTGTGCAGCAGATTTACCCACTGCAATGAATGGAAATTACCAATACAATGAATAGAATAACCCCAAGTACGTGGAACAAATACACAAACACAAGGAAAAGAAAAAAAGAAAAGGTCATTGATTAGGAGAAACTGAGATTCTACTTATTGCAATGGAAATTTTGGTCATTGTGTTAGTCTGGGTACTTTAGAGAAACAAATCCATAGAAACTCATGTATAAGACAGAGTTTTACATAAAAGTTAAGTGCACATCAAAAAAAACATTCCAACCCAGTGCTGTCCAAGCCCACAAGTTCAACATTGACCTTCAGGGAGGATGTCTCTAAGCTTCTGACCTCCCCCCCCATATGCTAGCAAAAAGCCCCTAACATTTGGAGGCATGCCTTTGGGGGAGACAAAGCTGGGGGAAAGTCTCTTTATAATCCCACAACCAATGTATTTTTACAAACAAAATTGAAATCACCATGATCTGAATAATATCCTTTAAATGAAACCATGATAGTTTGATTTTGGTTTCGATTTTCAATATTACTTCAGAGCCACATGTAGGTATAGAAGGAGCCATACATGGCTCGAGAGCCGCACTTTGCCGACTTGGGAAAAGGCATGCTTTATTCAGACAATGGTCCTTGGACGAGGGAGATGACAGTCCTCCCTGAGAAATCGCCCGATGACTTCAGCTTATCTGCATGTGGCGCTGCATTGATGCTGAAGCAAGCATCCAACAGACAAGCAGTCCCGGGCCGAACCCACACTGCTGGTTTTACCTTCACACAATAAGACACCGATTGAAAACCTCCCCAGGTTGAGCTCTTGAGTCATGGAGAGCCCCCGGTCTTAGGAGGTTTGTGTTCAGCTCCCCCTGCAGCCCCGGGCACTGTGTCACTCAAAGCACAGAAGTACTCCGCTGAGTCGCTCCAATGGGCTGAACGCTTCCTCAGGGGGAAGGAAGTTTCACTCTTCTTAAATGTAGCCTCAAAACCTTTGCTGCCTTTAACCTCCGTGTTCCCCGAAGTATACTTCAGGAGGAGCTGGGGGCTTTGACTGGGGTACTGCACGTACCAGAAGAGGTAAGGCGTGACAGAAGTGGAATAGTTACACCTCAGCTCCAGGGGCGCTCCTTCAGGGACAGCGACCTGGACGTCCAGCTGTGTCACCAGCTGGGCTCGGGTTCCTCCTGTAACAGCAGCGTTTGTAAGCGTCAAGCAACACACATTTGAAAACCCTCTGCAGACACCATGGTCATTTCTGTAGAACCAGTAAGGGGAATGGAAGGCTACTTACTCAGGGGGAAAATCCACTCAAGCACCAGGACAAGCAGCAGGCGCATGGCGGCACGTCGAAAAGTCTGCAGGCCTCCAGGCAGGCAGCGCGGTAGTTGGGGCCACAGAATACTGTTTGCCTGGGGGAACAAGGGGGTGAGGATAGCAAAGCTCGATGCTCTGGCAACTTCTGCCACCTGCCAGGAAGAAGCTTTCTCTAAACGAGTTTGAGCATTTTCTAGTCTCTTATTGTCATCACGGTCCTAAATCTACACAGACCTCAGGAGGGTGGAGAGTTGGGGGTTGGAGGGGGGGAAGTGGGTAGGCAGGAGTTTGCGTGGGGGTGGGGAAGCCTTTCCACCAACTGCGTGATGGAGGGGCTTGGAAGGCAGTGTGGACCTGCAATAAAGCTCATGTCCCAGTTATACCACATTGCCCCCTGCAGGCCAGAGGCAGGACCACGACCCGAGTGAGCTAACTTGTCATTTCAGAGATGTTATTCAATCTTCTGCAGAACACCCTTCTGTTTCCTCATCTGTGACGGTGTCCCTGCTCGGGCACCTGGCATTAACACGAATCCTGTTGCTATGAGGAATGGGAATTCTGTGGAAGCACGTGAGTATTTTACTTCACTGAGAAATTGATGACTGAAGAGAATTTTCTAGATTTTGGAATACTATTGAGACACTCTACATTATTGTTTTCAAGCCAGTCATCAGGGAAAGTGAGTAAGAAAGCTCTAAGCTGAGCTTCCAACGGCCCTGTGCTACTGGTTGTCAGTATCAGAGCGAGAGAAAGCAATGATTCCCTTCTTCAGTACTAAATAAATTAGACCAGAAATTCTCATTTAAAATCAGCCTGGAGAGCATGTTATTGATTAACTATTTGATGAAGATGAATAAAGGCAATGCATTTCTTTCTAGAGAAGAAAATGTAGGTAACACTTTGTGTTTTTAGATAAACAAGTTTGATATATTAAAGCTATCAGAAAACAACTTGGGCAATAAGTCGGGGTGGGGGAGAAAATCTGGTTTCAGTTATCAATTCAATAAATTCACAAAACCGAACTCATTGCCTTCAGGTCGATACCACCTCCTCACAGCCCTGTGGGACAGAGTAGAGCTGCCCCTGTGGGATCCGAAGACTGTAACTGTCTACAGGAGTAGAAAGCCTCATCTTTCTCCCACGGAAGGACTGATGGTTTCCACTTGCTGAACCTGTGGTTGGCAGTCCAACGTCTAACCCACTATGCCACCGGGGCTCCTTCATCAATGAATAGAATGGCATATTGTGTCCAATTATAGGAAGGACATTAGCAGAGGAGCATCCATAAGGAAAACTGAGCAGAACCATGAATACTGTATGTGGCACATAATTAAGTGATTCTGGAAAGAATTAAAGTGAGTAAAAAAATAAATAAAAACCACATGGACGCTATAAAGCTGTAAAGTATGTGCAACCAGCAGACTGGAAATGTCTAGGAGGTATAGACAAGATGGAAGCCAATTGACAATGGCCCTCGGGATATCTAAACGAGCAATGGTCCTATGTGACAACCTGTGCCCCAGACATTCACTCTTCTCTAAAAGTTGAAATAAACTGCCGGGAATGTTAAATATTGAGTTAGTTTATTTTGCCAACCTGGCTGATAAACACATGTTGGGTTCATTGAAGGGCAGAGGGATAAATGGCTCAGTGAGCCTTGCCTTTCTAGTTCTCAGGTCTTTTGCTTTGTGCTGGTCACACCAGGGTGCAGCTGCCTCAGCCAGTTCCCTGCTTCAGCTTGCAAGGCTGACTTCCTGCAAGGCAGCCCTGAGGAGAAGCCACATGGACCTACCCTGATGCAGCCCTGGGTGCTGGAGCAGCCGTGTGGAGACCCCTGCCAGCACTGAGATGCTTACAAGTTCACTGACTCGGCTTTCCTCCTGCAGTCGGCATCATGGTGTGTGTTTTGTGAGGTGGAGGAGGACTTTGTGGATGGGTTAATGTTGGACTTGTGGGCTTGGGCAGACTGGGTTGGGATGTTTTCTTGATGCGCACTTAACCTTTATATAAAACTCTTTCTTCTACATTAGTTTCTGTAGATTTTTTTCTCTAAAGTACCCAGACTAACACAAACATCTTATTATGGATAGTTAACAAAGTCAAACCACTCCAATAAAGTAGATTCTGACTCATCATCACCCTATAGGGCAGAGTAGAGTTACTTCCACAGTGTTTCCAATGCTTTCAACATTTAAAATCAAAAATGGTTAGGCATTGGGGTGGAGTCCTCAAGGTTCACAGTTTGAAACCACCATCGTTCTGCAGAGAAAAGTGGGACTTTCCAGTCCAGTGAATACTTTCCAGTCTCAGAAACTCACCGGAGCAGTTCTGCCCTGTCCTACAGGGTTGCTATGAGTCAGCATCAACTCGATGGCAGTGTGTTTGATTTTTAATTTATTTATTTTTAACCATTTACAGAAGCAGATGCTTCATCCTTTTCCCTGGAAGAGCTCACAAACCTTTGAGTTAGCAGCCCAATGCTGACCCCAGTGCTCTAGCAGGGCAGCTAACAAGTTCAAACTATTTCCAAACTTAAGTGCTGGGAAGACCCATTTTCTACTCATCCAACCTAATGAGAAGTCTGCGATAGCTACATGCCCAGACTACTAGCCAAACAACTTATTTGGGGAAAATTCTTGATGAAAGCATGGGCAAAAAAGTATAAGAAGCCCATGCCTACTATCCAAGCCTCTCGATCTTAAATATAAACAAAGAACAAAGCAACATTAGTTATTTACACATGTCAACGTTATCCCTTTCCATCTGTATTTCTACAAGTGGAAGCCCAGAATCATCCACCACGATTCATTAGAGTCACTTCTTCCTGGATACAAAGTGATGGGCAGAATATCGTGTAGTCATTCCCAACAGGAACAGAGAGAATATGTGGGTTTCCTTGTCATAGCTCAAAAAAAAATCTGAGTCTTTGTTTTAAATAATAACTTCTTATATTTATTTAGATACCATCTTTTCACTTATTTTGATTCTTTGTGGTTGGTGAGATTTTTCTTTCTAAAGCCCTCTAAACATAGGTGAAAATTTGAACTTAGAAGACAGACCAGAAGAACTCATAGGTGGCGAGCAATTTCTCATTGCCATCTCTTTTGATCAGGGCCGTAGCGGGATAGAACCTCATCAACAGTTTGCGAAAAGTGCAGAACAGAACGCACACTCTTCACAAGTCCAGTTTCGACTAGAAAAATCCCTGAGACTTTCTCCCCTGAATATTTTAAATCTTGAACTGAAACTATGTCTCAAGGTCACCTTTTCATTTAAAAAGAAAACCATTAGCACACAAAAATGAAATATATTACCCATGAGTACTGTGATTCAGTAAAAAAATATTCTTTTGATCAGACTCACTGCCATCCAGTTGAATCTGACTCATAGCGACTCTGTAGGACAGTGTAGAACTGCCTCTGTGGTTTCCCACGTCCGTAACCCTTACAGGAGGGGAAAACCTAAGGAAAGAGCCAGAACCCAAAGAGTGTCTCGGCATGTTGTGAAAATGCGACTAGCATCCCTGAACAATTGTGTACAAATAGTCAGACAGGACCTGATTATCTGGAACTTTTCACTTAAAAAACAACGAACTATTCTTTTTCAGAAGAAAGAAGTCCTAAACACAGGACCTTGGGAGATCTGTCCTTGAAATAATGTGTGACGTAACTTTTTAAAAGTAATTTGTTTCTAACTTCTTTTTTCTCTTTTCATTTGTTTTGCTTTCCTAAAAAACAAATGTCCATCACCTTGAGTGACTACGTGGTGACGAAGCAAAGTGTACAAGGAAGTATGAGGAAATATCTGTCATCGGATTAAAATGTATTGCTGTCATATGCATAGAACGTAATAAACCAATCCTATTGAGTCAAGTTATGGTATAAAACTCGAATGGAAACAAGATTGGAAAATAATTCAATCACTCATTCTGACCAATATTTAGTTTTCTATTTCTCTTCAGGGTTAACTATTTTCAGAATAATGAAAATATTCCACTGATGGATTACATTCCCTATACTATTCATTTTCATTTTCCACTTGCATCTAGGGACCAACAGGATTTATCTACCCTGCAATCTAATTTCTAAGTCATGCCCCCTGGGGCCTCAGCTGTAGGTTTGGGTACAGGCTGCAGGTGCCCTGGGAGCACTGTGTGCTCACTGCGCAGAGATAGGTGGCTGAGTCACTGGGCTGAGAGTCTGTGATGATCAAGGAGACGTGTTGGCTGCCTTTATTAAGCTGTGCTGTAAATCTTCCTTCCACTTTATCACCATTGGAGTATATGCTCATCAATAACTCAGGGCCCTTCCAGGGAAAATGTCTGTACCACATGAAATACTGAGAAGCCCGGTCCTCATACGTGCAGTTGAGAGAGACTATGGCACCCTCCGGTATACTCAGGGATCCAGGACTCTGCTCCACCTTCTTCTGCTGGCTTGCCGTTGCTGTACAAAAAGACAGTCAGACAAAGAAGGTTGAATAGTAGTTGATGCTTACTGAATTAAATTATCTTCCCACAAGCCTCCCAGCACCCCTGCCTACAGAGCTTCCATTTAGTTAGAGCAGAGGGAGATCATGTCTGTGCCCATAGGCCAAGAGTGAGCAATAACCCCAAATACTCATTTTCTATTTTATGTTCTCATAGTCGTAGGTGGCCCAAACTCACAGCTTAACTGAAGCCATAGGATCATTAAAGAAACTCTTGAGGATTTCATCATTATTCCCTCCTCTGATTCACTGCATTCAAATTGTACAGCCTGAAAAAGAATGAGCTAGCTCATACATTTCTAATTCTTCTGCTCTAGAAATTACAAAAAGAATCTCTTCTACCAATTAGAAGAGGAGTCTATTTTCACCACGCCTGCTACATAGTAAAGCTCCTCCCTGTTCCTCCCTCTTCATATCCCCACCTGTATGTTTCTCTCTCTCTCAAACACACACACACACACACACACACACACACACACGAACACTGAAGAACTTTGCTTGGTGGGGAAAGACTAAGACTGCCATCTTGTGACTC